GTGAAAAGAAATATTGCACATGTTTTAAAGCCTTCCATGGGTCTTTTTCCTAAACCCATCTAGAACACCAGAACTTAATTCACTTATTTCAGTTTTTTTGGCTGCACTGTTGTTGTACCAGGGCTTTCTCTGGTTGTGGTGAGTGGGGGGGGGGGGCTACTCTCTAGTTGCGGTGTGCAGGAAGGTAAGATGCAGGTAATAAGGGAGTGAGGAAGACTCAGCACCAATGACACATCCAGTGGGATCTCCCTACAGATGTGTGCAGAGGGGTCAGGATTTCTATCTTCACTCAGGGGACTAGAGGAGAATGACTGATATGCCCTCTGGTTGTAAATCCCATACCTGGTGCCTCTAAGCTGAAACTCTGAGAATATATCCGTGTGTGGATGCTCTGGGCCTAGTGCTTGCTTCTTCAGTACCTACAATAACTTAATTTTTCTTCTGAATAAAAGCATTACTTGTGTTAAGATTGCTTTCAGCCTATATTGGAAGACTCTGATCCTTGATATCCTCCACTGTCTATGTTAGAATAAAAATCTGGGCTTCCCTATTGAGTCACAAAGTGAAAATCGCTCAGTTGTGTCAGACTGTTTGTGACCCCATGGACTACACTGTCCATGGAATTCTCCAGGCCAGAATACTGGAGTGGGAAGCTATTCCCTTCTCCAAGGGATCTTCCCAACTCAGGGATTGAACCCAGGTGCCCCACGTTGCAAGCAGATTCTTAACCAGCTGAGCCACCAGGAAATCCCAAGAATACTGGAGTGGGTAGTCTGTCCCTTCTCCAGTGGATCTTCCCGACCCAGGAATCAAACTGGGGTCTCATGCATTGTGGAAGGATTCTTTACCAATTGAGCTACCAGGGAAGCCCATTGAGTCACAGGCCAAGCTAAATTTCTCGATTTCTAATTGTGCAGCAAATAATTCAGAACTACCCAGCACTGGAGGGCGCTGCTGGGGGTGGCAGTTATGGAAGGGAAGGATTATGAGTCCAGAGATGCCAGAGGCAGGATGCTGCATTGTTCTGGGCTGTCTGGGCAGTGGTGTGAATTATAGACAAGGCTTCCTGGCCAGGCAAGGAGTCTCTGGGTCTAAGAATCTGGGTGTTCTGTTTGCTTTGTGTACCTAGATTCCTAACTTTCTTGCCTGTTGCATGTAGGGTCCCATCAAAAGGGCTTCTGCCATGGACTGAACTGTGTTCCCCTCCCCAGTGGTTGAAGACTTAACCCCTAGTGTGATTGCATCTGGAGTAAGGAGATAATTAGAGTTAAAGGAGATCATAGGTGATAAGTATCCATGTAAGGACTTCCCTGGTGGCTCAGATGATAAAGCAGGAGATCTGGATTTGATCCCTAGGTCAGGAAGATACCCTGGAGAAAGAAATGGCAACCTACTTCAGTATTCTTGCCTGGAGAATCCCATGGACAGAGGAGCCTGGTGGGCTACAGTCCATGGGGTCACAAAGAGTTGGACATGACTGAGTGATTAACTCACACCTTAGAGGAGATGTCAGAGAGCACCCCACCTCTCTCTGTCTCTTTCTTTCTGCCACACGAGGACACAGTGAGGAGGAGACGGTCAGTCTGCAAGCCAGGAAGAGAGCTCACACCAGGAACCAAATCTGTTGGCACCTTGATCTTGGACTTCCAGCCTCCAGGACTGTGTGAATGTAAACTTCTGCTATTTAAGCCCCACATTCCCCAGTGTACTGTTCTGACAGCTTGAGCAGACTCAGACAGCTTCCGTCCCCAAGCCGCCTTTGGTCCTGATGCCAGCACGTGACCCAGAGACTTTACTTGCTACTTGAACCTTGGAAAAAGACAGTTAATTCCCTGTTTCCATCACTCCAGAATTGAGTCATCGTAGGGTTTTCTGACTCAGAGAAAGAGGGGACAACAGAGTCACTGTGTGTGTATGTGTTATGAGAGACAGAGAGGGAGGCAGAGATGTAACATATTTGCAGGTTCTGGGATTAGAACACTGACCCATTTGGAGGTTGATATCCTGCATTTCACACCTGAGGTCCAACATTCCATCCTTTTTCTCAAAGACCTAAGAATGGAAGCCTCTTCATGGAGTGGAGAAATCAGGGAAGGCTCCGTGGAGGAAGGAGGTGTGGCCTGACCCAGTCAGTGGACACATTTGGAAAGACCTTCCAGGAAGTGGGTCACAGCATGAGCTAAGATTTAGAAATGGGACCAGACAAGGTGCTCTGGGGTAGGGGGTGGGGGCGGTTCACAGGAGACTCCCAAACCAGGGCCTGGCAGCCTGGGGAAAAGGGGTGCCCTGTGGCTGGGGCATGTAGGGGGCAGTGTTTCAGGGCAGACTTCAACGTGGTCCTGCCTGGGGTCCCGTGGGGCAGCGCAGGAGTCCTCAGAAGCTCCAGTGGAGGACAAGTTGGAGAGTTTGGCCAACAGAAGTCCAAAGTAAAATAGAACTTCCGTTTCTTTGTCTGTAAAATGGAGCTATTCATGCCTACCTCAGAGTGACTGTAAGGATTAGTAGTCGTGACTGCTTTTTGAGGGTCTAATACACACCAGGCGTTCGTCAAGGACTCTCTGTTCATGGCCTCAAGTGCCCCCACAACAGCCCTGTGACTGAGAGACTATTTTTATCCCTGTGTTTCCCAGATAAGGAAACAAAGGTCCTTAAAGGTCTGAGTCAGAACAGCTTCGAGGCGCCGAGTCAGCCCCAGAGCCCAGGTCTGTGTGACTCAGATGGTGCAGCTCAGTCATCACATGTTGCTTCCAGGAGCCCCATCAACACACATGTCCCTATTTCTAGGCGCACCAGCCCAGCCAGTGCTGGCTGTCATCGGCCTGACATAGCAGCAGGACACCCGTCAGCCTGACCTCCCCACGAGCAGGGGTGTGAAACCTGCCTGGGCTCGGAGCCTGGAAGACCAGGCACTCCCCCTCTTGTTCACGCTGAGGGTCCACGTGGCTGGCCCTGGGGATGGGTGCAGGAGGACTGGTGTGCTGTGTTCACAGCTCCCGTGTGGCTCTCTGCATCTATCACACAGCCAGCAAAGTGCTCCCCATGACCTGGTATAATGACTCACAGTCTTATCAGTGATTGGTCATGAGGTTCTCAAAATATCTTGACAGCAGGAATTAAAAATAGTAAAAGTAGTGGGCACCCAACTCAGTAGAAGTGTCTGAAAGTGTTACTTTCACACTTCCGTTGAGGACATTCAGGGAACTTCAGTCTGTGGGAGCCGTTCCAGGGAGTGGGCTGGGGGCCACTCCGCCCTCTCTGCTCTTCTCCAGGGGGAGGAGGCCAGCTGCGCAGTGTGTGGCCAGGATCGTGGTGACCTGGGCATGTGGAAGCCTGGGGTTCAGAACCATCCTGTGGCTTACCAGATGCAGCAGAACTGGGGTAGCCGTTGACCTCCAACCTGTCAAGGGAGGTTGTTATAACCCATCACGTTCATTAGGACACGCCTGGCATCTTTCTGGTATCTGCCCATGCCACACCCGACACATCCCTGGATGGATTCTGGGTCAGGGTCCCCTCCAAAGAGCAGGAGGAAGAGTAGTGAAGCAAGTGGAAAGGCAGAAGGTCTGACTGGGGAGGAGGTAGGGACCAGGGTCGGTGCTTCTGCACCCACGGAGTAGAGCTGAGAGGCGTTTGGAGGTGGGCAGTCTTAGCATCACAGGCTGTAGGGAATTTGGGGCCAGGGGGTCCCTCTGTGCTAGGGGTCAGGGAGGTTGTCTCTTTCAGTCCTTGTCAAATGAGATGGGAGCCTCTCATCCAGGCCTGCAGTTCACCCTGTGCTCCATCCCCATCCCCGTCTTCCCCAGAAACTGCCTCCCCACACCCAGCTGCGGGTCTGTACACCTGTGCCCCACGGAGCCCAGCCCCATCAGCACAAACCCGCAGCTCCTGGCAGGATCAGAACCACGTTTCAAGCACCGTGTTTGGGGTCAACCTGACCCTGCTTAGAAACTTCCCGCTTTGAGACCCAAGACCAGTTTTTCAAGCTCCTCTTTCACTTCCGTAACCTCATAGGGCTCCCGTGCAGAACGTGTACCGGAGAGCAGGTGACCGCCTGGTGGTGTACCTGAAAGTGTTATTTTCTCCCTTCCCTGGCTTCCTGGTGTGCAAGCAGCACTCAGGTCCAGCGAGTCGTCATGATGATGCTGCTGAGTGTGATGGAGGTGACTCCCGTGGCCCCCTGGGGAAGGGGGGCCGCTGACCCCAGCCTTCCTGACTCCCCAAAGGGTGCCCGTGCATGGAGAGAAAGGATTCCTTGTCGCTTCTGTGGGAAACCAGGGGCTTCCCTGGTGGCTCAGATGGTAAAGAATCTGCCTGCACTGCAGGAGACCCGGGTTTGATCCCTGGGTTGGGAAGATCCCCTGGAGGCGGGCATGGCTACCCACTCCAGTATTCTTGTCTGGAGCATGCCATGGACAGAGGAGCCTGGTGGGCTACCGTCCAGGGGATCTCAAAGAGTCAGACACGACTGAGCGACTAAGACTTTCGCATGACACGACAGTGGTAGAGGAGAAGGTGAATGGACTACAGGATCCACACATCCTCTTTTGCAAGTTTCCCTGCACCCAGCATGTGAGGTGGTGCCTCCCCCAACACCTCCTCCCCACAGATCACCTCTGGAGGCAGCACTTGTGGGTTTGTGACCTTGGGGAAGGTAGTGGTGAGGCAAGAGTACCCAGCAGATCACGCCCTGTGACTGGGTGTCAGTCTCACAGAGTCCAGAGAAACTGGCGTCTGCTGGAGACCTTTGCATCCTTCAGGCACTGGGAGGTGTCCGGGTGTTGTTTTGTTAGCCAGCCCCAGGTGGGAGAGGATTTGCAATTCAACACTCTGCTCTTTTGCTGAGCCTTGTGACTTGGCCGGGCTCCTGGGTGGAAAGAGAAACTGCCTGCTCTGGGCTCAGTGTCGCTGGGCCAGCCTCCCAGCTCCTGAAATTAGCCTCCGCAGACACTCTTCTCTGGGCGTTGGATGGGGAGGCCAGTGGAGTCCCCCCGAGCCCAGCCATGGAGGAGCAAGACCACTCCTGTGACCCCACCTGGGAGCCCCCACAGGCAAAGAGCCGCCCGGACTCACCTTGGTCGTGGGTAAGGGCTAGGGCATGGCCACATGCAAACCCCCATCCCCCGCCTGGCTGAGGAGTGCAGGTGGGCCCTGTGGGTCTCGTAGAGGATTGGTGCGTCCACATTTTTCCAAAGAAGTGATGGGACCAGCTGCTCCCCAGGGGCTCCTGGGATGGAGGCTGCATTTATGGAAGAGGGTTTAGAACTAACTCGAGAACTCAAGGCGTTTTTCTTTGCCTTGGATGGAGAGTAATAGTGACTGCTTTAATCCTCAAGACAGAGAGTTATTTGAGGACTCCTGCTCACCAGGCCCTGTGCAGGGAATGCTTGCCGTCTTCTGTGTTTGCATGCGGGCAAGGAAGGGAGGCCCCGGGGGTTGAAGTTACGGGATCAACACAGGCATTTGAGCACAGTTGTGTCAGCGGGTGTGATGTGTGTGCTGCGGGCGCTCCTGGACTCCAAAGCCAGAGATTGCACTGTCTGCGCTTTCTAGATCTCATCCTAGATGTCCAGGCTTTCTTCAAAGGTACTTATGTTTGTGTGAAGCCCCAAAAGCAAGAGTAGAGGGTGTTCAGATAACCCCAAGTGGAAGTGGGGACCAAAGGTGGAGGCTGGACTAGAGTTTGGGCTTGGCTATTTCTTCCAAAGGCTAGGGGTTTGGCCACAGTGAACATAATGTGTTAATGGTAGTGGTTTAGTTGCAAAATTGTGTCTGGCACTTTGCGACCCCATGGACTGTAGCCTGCCCGGCTCCTCTGTCCATGGTGATGCTCCAGGCAAGAATACTGGAGTGGGTTGCCATTTCCTCCTCCAGGGGATCTTCCCGAACCAGGGATCGAATCCTGGTCTCCTGCATTGCAGGCAGATTCTTTACAACTAAGCCACCAGGGAAACCACCAGTGTATCGCTTCCCTGCCCCAAATGTCTAGGACACCTTTGACACTCCTGGTCTGGCCCCCAGCTGCAGAGGCTGGGCTGGTCCTGGAGGGTTCCACACGCCCTGGAAACAGAGAGAGCGTGGGGTCCATCTCACCTATGGGGAGAGGGTGAGGGGTGCGGCGTGCTCGGAGCAGACACAGCCTCCTGGCTGCCCCTGCTTCCCCGAAGCCCCTGTCATTGGCACTTCAGTCATGTCCACCCTCAGGACAGCTCCTGTCCCTGCGGGGGCATGGGACCTTGCTGTTGGTACTCAGGCGGAGATGCGGGGGGCAGGGGGAGCCCGAGAAAGGGCCTCTGGATTCTACTCCCACCCTCTGCCACTTGGCCCTTTGGGCCGGTGTTTCCTGGGCAGACAGATGCTCGAAGAGGCAGCTGCGCAGTGAGCCTCCCTCTGCAGGCAGAGGGCAGGAATGGGAGCACTCCCCCGCAGTGCTCTGTACATCGATGGCACTCACACTCTAGCTTAACAGATGGTTTTGTGGTTCGTCGGAGATTAAGACGGTTGTGTCTTGTTTCCCATTCCTGGAATGTCTCTCTTGAACAGAGCAGCCCTGAGAAGTGCCCCCTTCTTCTCCCACGTGGGCAGCACTGCGCTCTCAGAAAGCTCTCCCATGTCCATTCCGGGACCGAGTCTCCTTGGCCCTGGGACACAGGTCTTATCATCATGGCATCTCTCTTGTACAGCCCATCTCTCTCGTCCAGTTTGCCCAGGCTGTCAAATGTCATTCCCATCTGACAATGGGGAAACTGAGGTTTTGATGTTGCCCGACAAGTGGCTCAGGGGTGGAGGGGGTGGGGGAGATGGAGGCAGGGTGGTAGCCCAGCCCTGCCGTCATTCCCCGCACCTGCAGACTCTGTGATCCGAGGAAGCTCTGACAACATCTGCTTTCTGCTTTTATCTTTGGATTATTAGCAATTTTTCCTGGTTATAAAATTATGTGTATTAGAAAAGGTTTAGATTCTACAGCGGAGTGCAAATATTAATAAGATAATAAAATGCCAATCATTTCACCCGCCTGGGAGGTCGCCTGGGAACTTTGTCAACTGAGGTTGCCCTGTGTTTTCCTGGAGGCTCATTATAATTAAGCCACAGAAAGGATTTCAAAGTCTCCAGTTCTTTTTTCATTTCAACCCCTTCACTGCCCTGTTTGCTTGATTCTAAAATCCCCAAAGCCCTCTGGCTGTCCACTGTGGCCTGGACCCCTTGCTGTGTGACATCTGTGACTGTCGTCCTGGCGGAGGCAGGTGTCCATGGCAGGAGAGGGTGAAGGGTGAGGGGGACAGTCTGCTGGATTCTGGAGCTGCTGCGCTGGCCCTGCAGACTGTCCACCGCTGGGTGCAGAGTTTAAATGGGCCCAGGAACTTGGGCTTGGCTCCCGCTGGTGCCCACATCCAGGAGAATCTGAACTGCTGAGCTGAAGGGTGGCTGCTGGGCGGGGATCCTGGGAGTCTAACGGGGCTCCAGGGAGAGCGCTGGCCTCCTTCCACTGTTGGGTGCTGGGTCCAGCCCTGGGAGGACAGAGGAGGCCAGGTCCTGAGTGAGGCTTCAGCAAAGCTGGACTGGAACACAAAGCAGGAAATCGAGGTGGACGCCCAGATGGACTGCCTGCCGTGCAGGAAAGCTTCGGAGGAGGCTGCAAGAGAGCTGGCCAAGCAGGGCAGGAGAGGCGGGAACCGCAGCTGCCGTGGCCAGGAGCCCGGGCTGAGCTGGCTGCTTCTGGGGAGGGTAAGAATGGCTCAGCCATCGTGGGGCACTTTCATTCCTGGGCCCAGGAAAGGGCAGCTGGCAGTGCCAAGAGCCCTGGGAGGCACCTGTTAAGTTGGCAACAGCTCCCTGAACACAGGCCACATCCCTTCCCAGAGGCTGTGAGCTTGATGTCCAGGCTCTGAGCGTGTGCAGAGCCCCGTGGGGCACAGTGATGGGTGAGACCTGGTTCCCAACCGCAGGAGGTCAGGGTGGAGTGTGAGTGGGTCTGCCAGCTGCCAAGTTCCTGTGGATACAGATCAGGAGGAATTCCTGCTGGCAGGGCTGGGGAAGGCGTCTTTGTGAAGCTGGCATTGGAGCCAGGGCTTGGGAGGAGGGTAGGATTTCAATAAACAGAACACATGGGGGGTGGGGTGGCGGGCAGAGACTTCTAGGCCAAGGGTTCAGCCTGAGTGACAGCTGGGCTTTGCGAGAACAGGGTGTTCTCCTAAAGCTAAGTCTGCAAGTTCAGTTCTTCAAGCTGTTTGGGATTTTATGTCTGCTGAGTTGGGGCGTGCGTGGTGATATTCATCTCGGTCAGGCCCCCAGCCTGTGAGAGAAAGCAAACAGTCACGGACCAAATATGTGGGACTCGCTGTGAATCCAGGGCCACACAGGGCCTGGGCTCAAGCTTAGTTTTACCACTTGTAAGTTTGATTAACTGGAGCCTAAGTTTTCTTATCTGTAATATGGGACTTAACAATACCTAATAATATAATAATCACAGGGACTTGGTTGCTCGTTGTTGTTCACTTGTTAAGTTGTGTCCGACTCTTTGCAACCAGATGGACTGAAGCACACCAGGCCTCCCTGTCCCTCATCATCTCCTGGAGTTAACCCTGTTTCATGTCCATTGAATCAGTGATACCATCCAACCATCTCATCCTCTGCCACCCTCTTCTTCTTCTGCCTGCAATCTTTCCCAGCATCAGAGTCTTTTTCCAACGAGTTGGCTGTTCGCATCAGGTGGCCAAAGTATCAGAGCTTCGGCACCAAGTGCTTGGTAAATGAGCCCTCGTTAATAAACCTGGAAAAAAAAATAGCTTGTTACAAGTTGGGTTGTAAATACCAGTGAAGAGGAAATCATTTGCATTTGGACCATTGATCTCAGTACGGTAAAGAGAGAATGCACAAAATCAGAGCCCCACATCCCCTATTATGGACAATTCAGAGTGAGACTTTGTGCAGACCTTTTGGCTCGGCATGCAAGGCCTCTCAAGAGCTTCCTGCTCTTGGCTCTGTCCTCACCTACCACGACCATGTGTTGCCCAGCAAGTGCCTCTCCTCGGAGGCACTGAGCCCATTATGTTAGCTGGGTCTCCAGGGAATGAACATCAGGACCTCAGACCCTTCCTGCCATCTCCAGCCCCTGAGACTTGGCAAGGGGCTGGACTTTGAGCCCCAACTTCCCAGAGCACATGTTTGCCACTAAACTCCGTTGGCAAAGCTGACCAGAAGCCTGGGCAGAAGCCGGGTCATAGCCTCCAAGACTCCTTTCCTTAGGGACCCTTAGGGCCAGCACCCCTGAAGGTGCTGGGGGCATGTAAGGACAGACTCAGGGACAGGGTCCACCTCTTCCCAGAGGCCCACCCAACTTGAGACACCTGTCTACCCACCTGATCCAGGCAGGATCCCAAGAGGCTACTGCCTGGGATCAGCCTGAAACTACTGGCTCCCTGGTTGAGTGATGGGGAGATGGGCAGAGAAAGAAACCAGGAAGCAGTCCCCGCACACCCCCTCATGGGAAACACAGTGCCCTGGGTCCACCCACCAGACCCCTGCTTCCTGTGAAGTCGAGGGGGAGGTCTGGAGCTCCCCCTGGAGGTGGTACTCTGCCACTACAGAGTGCCTACAAACAAAAACAGAAAAACTACAGGAAAACCACCACCCCGTCATATCACAACCAAGTGGCCGATGGGACTTTTACTAGGGACAGAAACAGAATAAACACAGAAACTCAGTGGTGCAAAGTCAGTGATTACTGGGTCAAATCTGAATTCCTCATTAAGATTGTTTGTGATTAAACTCCTTGCAGGAAACTGTTGTTGGATTACATTCTGCACCGTGCTTTTAAACTCTGACTTTTGCTGCCACCTTCCCTTTCTGTCTGTTCTGTTTTCCTTATATAAAACCTCTTCTCTCCTGTTGGGCTGTGAGCCCCGAGGGCAGCCAGAGTATCTCCATCTTGGTGTTGCCCAGAGCTCCTAACACAGTTGTGTTACATGTCTGGGTCAGCTGGATTTATACCTTTTACCTTGATGTAATATTGCAGCACCCCCTTTTGCTCTGAAATGGGGTGATCACTCTACCTGGTACACATCTGTAAGGTCATACCTGCATT